TAAGTTGTCAGTAAACTTGAAAAAAACAGTCATAAAACGGGCAGACAAACAAGTACGCTCAATGGAAGTAGGAAGAGCGATCCCGACAGCGCTACTATCGATGGAGCATGTAATATCGCTAGTGATAACATGCTAAAACCCAGCATCATCATAATATCGACGGTAGTAGACTCCCTCAGCAGACTTGGGTCTCCCAGTACAGGATCCTCGAATGCAACGGTGGTTCCCAAAAACTCTGCAGATGATTGGACCCTCGTTGACAAAGTTAAAAAGGGCCAGGTGTCACCGTCTAAGAAGCTGAACATCCTGAGTATTGTAAGGAAACCAACTGGTGATTTGGCCGCACGGTATACCCCCAAGAATGTCCGTCCGGTCATCAAAGAGTATAGGAATCGGAAACGCGCTTTGAACTCCAAACAACAATATCCTCAACCTGAACGCACACGTAAACCTGGGAAAACAATAATAGTTTGTGATGATTCTCTCATAATCATGCACATTAAAGACAGCCCTGACCTTCCCCTCAGTTTGCGGGACAAACATGACAGGTTGCTCTGGAAAGAGTTAAACAAGAAGCTTAAACATCCAAAATAGAGCATTTGACGGTCACACGGTTCACTCGGGGAAAGAACTCTAAGCATCAAAATCATCCGAGACCACTTCGTGTAACAATCACCAACGCTACCGGTGTAGAGGATATCCTACTGGCTGGTCACTTACTGAAATCAGATGGGAATGTAAGAATACTTACTTAGTTACGCCTGTTACTCTTAATGAAGCATAGGCTGCTGACCAGGAGTCTCCAACCCACGCTGTTCTGTGCCTTCTTTTCCAGTTATATCCAATTTTCGTTCATTTTTCTCATGTCTGTCTCAATTTCTCGGCGCACTGTGTTCTCCGGTCTTCCTCTCCTCCTTTGGCCTTGAGGATTTCATGTGAGGGCTTGCCTCGTGACTCAGTTGGGTGCTGTCCTCAATGTGTTTCCTGTCCACTTCCAGCGCTTCTTTTTGATTTCCTCCTCTGCGATCTGATTTGGTCTCTCCCGTGGTAGTTTGTCGCTGATGGTGTCTGACCAACGGATGTGAAGTATTTTGCGTAGACAACTGTTAATAAACACTTGTATCTTTTGGATGATGGCTTTCGTAGTTCTCCAAGTTTTTGCCCCATACAGTAGAACTGTCTTGACATTTGTATTGAAAATTGTGACATTGGTGTTGGTTGACAGTTGTTTTGAGTTCCAGATGTTCTTCAGTTGTAAATAAGCTGCTCTTGCCTTGCCGATCCGCTCCTGCACATCTGAATCTAATCCACCGTGCGCATCAATGATGCTGCCCAGATATGTAACGGTTTTCACATCTTCCAAATCTTCTCCGTCAAGTGTGATTCGATTATTGCATGCTGTGTTGTATCGGAGAATTTTGCTTTTCCCTTCGTCTATGTTGAGACCTACTGTTGCTGAGGCTGCCGCTACACTGGTCGTCTTCTCCTGCATTTGTTGTTGCGTGTGCGATAGAAGAGCCAGATCACCTGAGAGGTGTAGATCGTCCAGCTGCATCCTAGCTGTCCACTGTATCCCATGCTTCCCGTCAGATGTTGACGTCTTCATGATCCGGTGGGTCACTAGAAAAAAAGAAAGGGTGAGAGTAAGCAACCTTGCCTCACACCGGTCTTTACCTCAAACGAGTCTGTCAGCTGTCCAACATGTACGATTCTACAGTCTAATCCATCACAGGAATTCCGTATGATATTGACTATCTTCTCAGGCACACTGTAGTGTCGAAGAACCTTCCATAGCGTTGTCCTGTCCACGCTATCAAGTGCTTTCTCGTAGTCAATGAAGTTGATGTAGAGTGATGAGTTACATTCAATTGATTGTTCCACAATGATCCGTAGTGTTGCAATTTGATCAGCACACGATCGATCCTCACTGAATCCAGCCCGTTGGTCTCGAATTTGGGCGTCTACGGAGTCCTTCATTCTGTTTAACAATACCCTGTTGAAGACTTTTCCTGGTTTTGAGAGAAGAATAATGCCCCTGTAGTTCTCACACTTGCTGTCTGTCGGTACTTGTTCTTCATCCCAAATCTTGCTGGAGAGAATGCGGAGTATCCTTACAGTTACTGCTACACCTGCTTTCAGTGCCTCTGTTGGGATGTTGTCTGGTCCTGCTGATTTGCCGCTCTTGATATTTCTGATGACCGTGCTGATTTGGTGGTCCAACATCGATTGGGAGGTCCATGGGTGCTACTTCAATGTTGAAAGGGTTCAGTGGAGCTGGTCGATTCAAGAGTTCTTTGAAGTGTTCTACCCTCCTGTTTCGCTGTTCGTCGATGTTGGTGATTACTTTTCCCTCCTTGCTTTTCACCGGTCGTTCTGGTTTATGATAATTTCCGGCGGGTTTCTAGTTGTGTCATACAATTGTCTCATGTTTACTTCTTTTGCAGCCTTTCCGCCGTCATTGCTAAATCCTCGACATATTTACGTTTGTCGGTTCTGAAGCTTCTCTTTACCTGGTTGTTTACTTCTGTGTATTCAGCTTGTGCCTTGATTTTCTCTGCTCTGAATGTAAGAATACTGCCTGATATACCGTATTCTGAGCAAGTTGAAGCTGACCATTCTACTTATGGACAGTCTAGATCATAAATAAACGTGGAAAAGACAGAGGCTATCAACTCGGAAAGCCCTGTGTATCTAGAATAATCGTCCATTCGCACAACGCTCATACAGACGAACAGGACGGGGAAGCTTACGCGTTTCAAATTGAAAGCATAAACTACCTATACACGAAGGCCGCGAGTTTACCGAATAAAATGCACGAGTTGTATGAATTCACCAATGCTAATAATGCTCATCTGAAACTTGGATGTCTTCTCAGTTTACGAACCACGAGCTATCAATACTCAGAATGCCTTTGTTTCGCAATGACAGAAAAACAGGAATTGTAGGTGGAGTAGCCTTATACTTGCGATCATGCCTGGAGGTACATCAAGTACACAACCAAGAGTTTATCTATCTTGACGAATTCGTACGGTGCTCAGTAAGATTGTCTACCACCTCGAGGTGTCTAGTTGGAGTTATCTACAGGAAGCCCACCGCTGACATCGAGTACGACAATTGTATGCTGGAAGGATTATCCCGCTCTACTCGTCACAGATTCACTCATATCCTGATTCTAAGAGACTTCAATCTTTCTAAGGTCAGTTTCGCGGGACACACGTACATTCGAGGTGAAAGCCTTACTGAAGCTTGGCTCTTTAACCTCATTGAGGATCTAGGATTATTCAACGATGTGAAGACGGTGATTTGTTAAAGAAACAGTCCGAAGCCGTCACACTTAGACTGAATATTAGGAAACTGTAGAACCTAAGAAAAGACAGTTCTCCAGGTCCGGATATGGTTCATTCTGCTATTCTGAGGGGAGCAGATTCAATCCTGACAACACCTCTCAGTGTGATGTTCTCACACCCGCTAAGCCGAGGCACATTACCGGAGGTTTGGAAGCTGGCTCACATCACGCCAATTTTCAAAGGAGAACGATGTGGAGAACCTTCAAGCTACCGACCGGTGGCTCTTCTCCGCATACCTTCAAAAAATATGTGGTCCCTGATATGCGACGGCATATACGACTACTTATTTTCCTTGAACTTCTTTTCAATCCAACAACATGTTTTCAGAAGGGGTCATTCTTGTATAACCAACCTGCTGACAGTGACGGACAGATGGACAACCATCCTTGATCGCAAAGGGAAGGTTGACGTCATTTAGCTTGACTTCTCAAAAGCTTTTGATAGGGTCAACCATATATATGTCTAATCAATAAGCTCAAACGACTGGCCATCAAAATCATGTCCAATTGATTGGTTCATCTGATATCTAAAAAAAATCGACATTTTAAGGTCACAGTTAAATCCAATTTCTCTCAGACCATGGAATGGCCTAGTGGGGTCCCCTAGGGTCCTGTACCAGGACCTCTTCTTTTCTTGATTTATACGAACGATTTTCCACAGCAGGTACCATCTGACTTATTGCTTTTTGCTGATGATGTGAAACTTTGGAGAGAGATACTCAACCAAGAGGATATTCTGACACTTCTGGAGGATCTGACTCGACTTTAAAATTGGGCAGATGACAACAGACTTACCTTTAACACCTCATGGTGTAAAGTAGTCCACCTGAAACATGTTGTAGACTACGGTTACAGTTTAGGAAACTCCTCTCTAGAAGTATCCCAAGTTGAAACAGATTTACGAGTAATGGTACCCTACGATTTAAAGTCTTATGTTAACTGTGACCAAAATGCCTTTCGAGCGAACCTTGCACCAGTAACATTGAAGCACATTTTGGGCCGGTTTCATGGAACAACGTTCCACACAATCTTCAACGGTTTCATTCGTCTCCATTTAGAGCACAGAAACATAGTGTTTCCTCCCTCACTACAAGAGGATGAGGACACCCTGGAACGCATCCAACTGTGAGCTACGAAATCAGTTCGGGGACTCGAATTCAAGTCTTATGCAGAGCGCCTTTAATCACGGAACCTTTACCCATTAGAGTACAGGTGTCTCAGAAGTGACCTTCTAATGGCTTATAGTATCATTAACACGTCTGAACATCCCCTTAAACACCTACTTAAGTTTAGCTCCAACACAAACCTAAGGGGCAACACCCAGAAACTGGAGACACAACACAGCAGAACGGACTGTAGACACAATTTATACTCCTTAAGAGTTGTCAAATGCTGGAATTCGCTGCTGGCTGAACTATTCCAAGCGACTTTCCAAGAGTCCTTAAAGAGAAAACTTGACATATTCTTAAGGACTAAGGATAGAATCTTACTATGATGAACCAATTTTTCTTTTTCCTCTTTTATCGATAAAACAACTGGGTTCCTGTCTGGAGTTATTAGCGATCCACTGCTATTAGACACGAAAGCACGTTAAGAGGAATCTTCTATTTCGTCTACAACCATTTGAACCACTTGAGGACTGAGCAGTGACCTTGGCAATAATTTCGTCATATTGTCATGGGCGGTTCTTGTTTTCTTTGGTTTGTTGTTTGTTAATGTTGATGTTTACAGTGTGACTTAATCGTATGAATTTAGTATATGGTTGACGGTTGTCAAAATTTCACGTCTGTCCTCTGGGAAGCGAAAATGAGAGTTTAAGCATTTATTTGTTATTGCATTCAACATTACACCGAAAAAAGTCAGTGATGATCATAGATTTGCCCAGTCCATAGTTTTCATCTGTTATCTGCAAGTTCATTTTAGTCGGAATAATGGGACGTGGGGACTTAGTTATCATCGGGCAATTTAGCATGTGCTCAGATACGTATGTACCTGACTCGGGCAATATATATGGGGGAGTGTAATACTACACACTTAGTGCTAAGTAGTCGGGATAGTAAGGAATAATTTATGATGGCAATTAACAACTAGTGTCTCGGAGTAAGTGTTGGTTGTGTGGGACATTGGTTTATTCACATCGATAAGACTATGACACCAAACAGTTTTGATTAAATGACTTTCAGAACTTTGGATTTATGTAAAATGAGGGCAAGACAAGCTTTGAACAATCGTGTTTGCAACTGACCGTCGACGTTTGAGATTTCATGCCTCACCTCTGTTAAAACTCGTGGCCTTGTGCGCTATTAATATATGACGTAATGATACCACCAATTAGAGAACAGTGACTTATCAATCGAACCGATGACACGTAAACCCCTACGAGCATTCTAGAGTCCTTATCGGTTCTTCTTCCTGCCTAGCCCTGTCTGTTGAGTCCAGAACACCAATCTCAGCCTCTGCGGTATGAATCATGAATTTCGAACATACTGGGCTTATATCCAAACCGAACAGACCACATTGTACCATAAAATAGAAAATAACATTTCTACAAGATGTAGCCAAAAGTGGCTGTGAATGTGGGAGACTAATTAATAGACTGAGCATAACTCAAGAATGGTAAATCGCATAATAATAGTTCATGGGTCAAAATAAAGCGTATAATAGGAGGAACATGAATATGCATGGTTTAGCTACTTAACAAGTATACAATAAAAATATATGTATCGTGTCGTTCCCTAAAGAGTTCTCAAAAGTTGTTTATTTTCATTGTTGTTGAATGATATTCTCAGATCTAAGGGCAACACGACTTTTCCCGCGAATCTAGAGACGCGTAATTGATAGTTTCACATATTGGATGAGACGGGTTAATTAGAAAATACAACCAGAAGCAATTCTTTCAGTGTGTAGTGACAGTTGTTGAATGTCTATTGAGACCACTAACCGATCTAAATTTGACAACTATTGAAAACGTGGGAGCACTGAACAGCCGTTTCACCGCCGTGAGAAATTGTGACCAGTGTGAGTAATGTATACGCAAAAGGTAGTGCAAGATGGTCGCGCAATGTCGCTAATAGCGTGAAGTTAGACTTGCACATCATTGAACCACGACTCAGGGGTCTAGGGGTTAATTATTTTCTTGCTAAAACTGGGTTCTGTTTCCGGTCTCGAGGTTGTGGATACGCACTTCGAGAGTTCTATACTAGGACGAAGCGCTCATATGGTGCTCCCAAGTTTTCGGTGGTTGTCTAACTTAGGTTCGTGATTTGAATAACAATCCTTCCAGGTGACGCAACTTTCATTGTTTGTGTTACACCATCTCTCAGACCCCAACCAGGAGGTTGTGATGGACTGAGAGATGTCAATCCTGTACAGATCTATTTCATACCTCAGGACCATACCACATAAACCAACCGCTTCTCCACTTTTTTCAATCGGTCCAAACGTCCCAGAAATAGAGCACAGTTTGGATACTCGTATCAAATGTCCGAGCCATCGTGGTCGATGTTTCAGGATGGTGAAGCCAATTGAAGTCATTTTGCCCGAACATACGTTGCCAAACCTCTGCATTAATAACATGGTGTTGTGATTATATGTAGAATGACCTCACCAGTCACGCCACCACTAGCACTCGCACAACTAATCAGTTACACGAACTTTCTGATTACTTCTAATTGTTTATCAATAGGACTGAGTGCAGACACAGGCGGCTGTCTATCTTGCGAAAGTACTTGCACTTAGAAAACGCAAAGCACATGCCATACCTACGAACACTGATCGCCACCTGATAAAGTGCTGATTGGATGGCTTAAATATCTTCGCACAGTAAGACAATATCATCATGGTTGAAGATCGGAAATTCTTTCTCTAGGAAATAGTTCCACACTATCATTACTTATCTTCACTAGAGATGTTTCCAGAATGTCATCGATAATGAAGTTGAAGATGAATAAAGAGATTGAGCAACCCTCCTTAATGTAACTGCTTGAACAGAAGAAGTGGTCGCATGCTCCCATTCTGGCTGAGGTGTTTGTTCGTATAGCGTTCAACATGCTAATCAACTTCTCATGTACAGCCTTCTTTAACAGACAATTCCAGAGTGCTGTTCTGTTAAACGAGTCAGTGGAGAGACTGGTATCAAAAAACAAAATGGTTGTTGGCCTGTAATCAGCATAGCTGTGCTTTAACATTTGGTAGGGGATGTATGTATAACCAATGAATCCACGACCAGAATGAACTCCAGACTACTCCTTGCAAGTCAATGTTTCATGGGTCTTGGACGATCTGTGAACCTGGTAACTCACGGTGGTTCAGAAGTTGAAGTTTCTCTCGGACTTTGGCATCGTCAGGTAGAACAGTCATCACCGGCCGTTGAGGATAAGACAGTCTGATGTTTTGAGCGGCAGACTAGGTGAACTGTCTCTTTAGGAACTCCGCCCATCCTCCAAGACATCGTTGGGCGCTATTGACTAGCGTCTCGTCAGCTTTACATTTCTGTTTTTAGCCCTATCGCCCAAACCGAATTGGTGTATATGATCACTTCCGCTCAGTCTTCAGGTCTAAATTTGAAGTTGTTTTGCAGTCATGTTTTGAAACTTCTCTTGTCAGTGCTTCCTGTATACTTTTTGCGTTATCTTTTTGGGTTTCTTGTCATTTTGTTATTTAGATCAACGTGACGGTTTGCCAATACGGGGTTTCTTAAATGTGTTTTTTTCCAAGCCACCTAAAAATAACGGTTTGGCGACCTTTGCAAAATATATATTGTTTACATAATGGACTTCACAGTACCCCGAACATACTATACAGAATGGTGGAATATAAATACACACCGCTGCAATCATATCAACAGACCGCCTGTTAACCAGGAAATGTATGGCTACGGTCGTTCTTTTGTTGCCGACTGGGCTCGTACTGGTGCTGTTAGCATAAGTCATGTCTCCGATAAATTCCAGGTAACTTATTGCGTTCTGCAGTTGGTAAATGATATACTCAGGATAATTTTGTGCTTTTGTATAGTCTTATCAAGCTGACCAGCTTCATAGATATCTCGTTGACTCTATAAATATTGAGTAAGTAAGGATTTAACGTACACAAGACATTTTACAGCATTTAATTTTCTTTATCAATATTACTATAAATACAATAAAGTTCATTGTCAATACCTTCAAATACAACGGATTCAAATGTGACACTGTAATAGGTGATTGTCGTGAAATGGAAATACTGTGTTAATTAGACCTTTTATTCTAAATTATTATTCGGTAAACACGTCTTTGATAATATTTCCATGGCCACCAGCCCTGTTAAAGCACCGGCAAATGTCTGGCACGTTAACCGGGTTGGTGAATATAGAGGATCCACCTATGGGAGTTGAAAAACCCTGATTCCAAACCAGTGGTGCAAATGAACTCCAGGATCCTGAGGGAACAAATGACGTATGAACCTATTGTTGGTCACTGGCGACCGTGGGACTGCATCTCCTTACGCTTCTTCACTGCCTTGTGGGTTAGACCTTCAGGTCAAAGGCTCCGGTCGTAGCTTTCTAAGAAAACCACCTACTTCGGTTTGGGCACCCGGGTAGTATCCCAGCTCTTACACAAATCAATGATAACTACTACTAGCCTCATTGTCATTGTGTGGCGCATATGTGTTTGGTGCCTTTTCGTACCAGTGTTGATGTGTTCAAATAAATAAAATCAATCGCGACACTTTCTGAGTATTTCATTCTTTAAAAGGTTCTTCCAAACAAATAAAAGCAAGACATTATATCTAGGAGTACAATTTCCCCATATCTTTACATGTTTTGACTGACTGGGTTTGAGTCCTGTGTGCGTGATCGCGGATGCGCACTGCTCACGGTTCCCATCCTAGGACGAAACGGCCGTCCAGTGCTTCCAGGTTTTCAATGGCGGTCTAACATTTATCCATTCGTAACGTCAAATAATCGGTAAAGCATACAGTCTAGAATACCTGTTTATGTGTGATTACGGTCAGACAATTTTGTGATATTTTTATGTATATTCTCTTCATCTAGATTGAAAGTCAAATGTCCACGAAGCTGGTTGGTAAACTTCAATATTTTCATAACCCTGTTCCTTTATTACCAACACACTACTCATATTCATTATCAGGAACTAATAAATCTTCGTTTAATTATGATCAACAACTTGAAGGAGAAGAAAGGGGAAAAAATAGAAAACTGGTCGATTCATCTACTATTCGGGATTACGGTTATGAACAATTGTTGAACGATTATATTCTAGGTGAACAGGCGTGTGCAGCATTTTTATGTGGTAAACTCCAAGGATTATTACGTGCCAATATTTCCAAGTTTATGCAAATCAGTCATGATATCAATGGGAGAAATGATGTTATTGTCGCCGATGCAAAATACAATAGTATTTCACATAATTTTATTGAACAGTTATTTGATATGTCTGAAAAAGGATTGAATGACTGTAATTCAGTCGATTCACAGAATAAATTAATTAAAAGAATACAAAAATTAATTGTTTCAGGCACAAAATCAACAGATTCTTTTCCTGGATCTTTATTATCGTCACTTAATGCAAATTCTACCTCCGGGACTGCTATTGTTGGTAACAACCAGCCGTCAACAAAACGACGCCGGCTAACAACAAAGCCATCAAAAGCGACAAAGGCTACCGCTGTCGAAATTGGTGAAGGTGTTGATATTAGTGCATCTGAGAAATCAGAACAGTTACTACCTTGTACTATTGGTAGACTTCTCTATCCAGCTCACTCATCATTGTCCTCATCCATATCGTCATCATCGACAACATTGTGTGGGTCAGATAATTTAACACTTGAATCTGACTATAGTAGGCTATTAGCGTCTTTTGATCCATTAGTTATCAGATTAGCAAGTCGAATTGTAAATCCGAATTATCTCGGGAATGGTTTATTATGCAATGTAAAGACACATAACTATCAGTCGTTTACAAATCATTCTGACATACTTTTATGGCATTCACTTCAAACAAATTCCTTCTGTATTGGCAAAACATCGAATCTGTTGAAAACTAATATTCATGAATCGAATCGTTTCTCAATTATTCCCATTCCATTGACAAAACTTTCATCCAGATCATTTTGTGAGCTTGATGCATCTTTTAGTGAGTCAAGTGAGAAAATCGATATAGTCGGTCGTTTATTACCAACACCGGGCAGTAAGACAAATGTTGTTCGTATGCAAATTAAGATAAACGAACCGAACATGTCTAATTCATGTCTTGAAAACGTTAGTTTAATACGTATGTCATCAAGTAATTATGTTACTAGTATATGCATGAGTCGATGGATTCCAGGGGAATGGTGTATGGCCGGTAATTATCTGGACGGAAAAAGGGATCGTAGAGCTAGTATTCGGTTGTATAATTCAGAAGATACTCGACTTCCTATGTGGTCTGGTCACGTAAATCTAGGCAATTATATGGAAAATATAACAAAGGAAAACTCATTGTGTTTGGAAAGTATAGCATCATCGTCATATAAACAAGATCCGGTTCAATCAGATATTGAATCTTACTGTACATATACATCACGGAAACATCTTCTACACCAGCATTATCCTAATTATCATTGGTTACGTGTAGGATTTGGAAGTTATCCGGGTGAATTGTGTCTGACAACCACACGTCGTATCCTAATTTTTGACACTCGTACAGCACCATCATGTGCTTACCAACTGTTCAACACTTCAGAACGCTCGTCTTTATTAAATTCAAATGATCATATAACATATTCCCCACCTAAGTGGATCGGTGATGTATATGTTTTAACTGGTGGTTACTATAGTATGGTTCTACTGGATAAACGCATGCCTAATCGAACTGTATTACATTGGTCTCATAATCTTACAAAACCGTTGGCGTATCTTACTTGGACCGAAATAGATAAGCATTATCGTTCAACGCATGATATCCCACAATTTCTTATTTCTATGACTTCTCAATACCCCGCAGATATGTCTACATTTGGATTGAATTTCAATTCTTTCTCAGGTCCCCAGTATATTGGCCCGTGTCTATCCGGGACGCCACTAACAAGTTTGGTTTCATCATTTCGATCTAATGATCTCTTTCAATTCTACAATCAAAATCCACTGCTTAAGCGACGTTTACAAAGTTCTATTTGCGGAATTACAACACATTATTCACCGGATGATACAAAAAAACAATTTCATACATTGTTACTCACACCATATGGAGATCTATTCGATTATTGTGCTTATCTGACATCAGATGGTATTAATACTAATGATTATGACATTGTAGAGAGCTATCAAGAAAAAAGTCAAACAATTATTACAAATTGGTTATCTGAACTTAGTTGCGAACCTGAGAATAAACAGCATGTTAACAATTCTGAAGAGAATGCAAAGTTATACAAACAGTCGGAGCTCAAAAATCATACAGGCACTTTAAACCTAAACAATATTGTTTCTGAACGGAGACAAAGTGTTACAAATAAATTGAATAACGAGTCTATTGGAGAGGAAAGTACCACCGATAGTAATACTAATAATAATGATTATTTCACTTTAAAGCGTCGCTTAAATACATCAGAATCATTTAATAATAGTTCAATGGAATACTCAAAATGGTTATTAAGTGATTTAAAATCAATATGGGATTATGATCAAGGTGACAAATTAAAATATGAGGATCAAAATGCATTAGGATTCACTTCAATGTTTTTTGATAGTTTAACCGAAAATCGTATGCAAGAGGAAATGATTCATCAAAAACTAATTACTAACAATGATTTAAATGAATTATTAGATCAACGTTTAATTAAATTTAAAAAGTTATATATTGCTAATGCTTTTACTAAATCTGTAGACGATTGTAATGAGAGATGGCCATGTATGTTGACGCCAGTATTGCCTGAAGAATGTGTAACATCGTTATTTGAATCTGAGTACTATACTGCCGAAGAACTTTAAGAGTCTACTTAATGTTTCGTACATATTATATATAAAAATAATATCTGGAAGCAATTTATTATATATATATATATGTTGTACATAACAAAGTGAAAATAAATGCACTTTTTTCTCTGTAAATTTTCATCTTCTTTGTAATTTTGTTGACTTTATAACCGTTCAGTTAGTGTCTGTTTGCTGTTTTCTTTTTTATGAAGGGGAATATAAATATTCATTTTGCCATCAAAGTAACATGTCTTCACTAGTAAGTCATTGGAAACGATTTATATCAGCCTGTTCTACCCCTGCTACTTCTGTTGGTGGTAATAGTGGGCCATATTTGGCGTCAAATTCGAGTGGAAGTGGTAGCAGTGGTGTTACACCTGCATCACAGAATTCCTTTCAAAAATCTTCAGTTGAGTGGGAATGTCTTAATGAGACAGTGAATTTGCTCTTGAAAACATGTCCAGTATCACGATCAGCTATTTTAGATCATTTAGCTCCACTCTACATTGATTATTTTGTCACTTGGTGGCATGTCAATTCTGGGACTGCTACTAATCGTAATATAAACTTCGAAAGTCAAAATTTGCATAAAGCTGAAATTGTGCTTCAGGAATTGCTTAAAACGGTGAGTGATCATGAGGTCAAACGTTAACCAATGTTTATTGATATATATGATTCTCCATTTTACTTGCGCCTATTACCCTTCGAGGAGGAACATGGGCCGCCGACTAGTATTCTCCATCTAACTCTGATTTGGGCAATCCTGTTCAGTCCTTTCCAGTTTCTATTCATCCTTTTGATATCCTCTTCCGATTCCGGAAGCGATATGCTCCTTGATATTCCTCTTTTTTCCCTTCAGGATTTCAAGTCAGCACTTGCCTCGTAATGCAATTTGATGATTCACTCAATTTATGTCCTAACCACCTCTAACGTCTTTTCCTAAATTGTTCGGGTGGAACCTGGTTTGTTCTCTCCCTCAGTAGGTTGTTGCTAATGATATCCGGCCTACGTATATGGAGTATCTTGCGCATACAATTATTAATAAATTCTTGTACTTTTTGGTGATTGTGGTAGTTCTTTAAGTTCCAGCTCCGTACAACAGAACTATCCAGATATTTGTATTAAAGATTCTGACTTTGGTATTGGCTGAAAGTTATTTTGGATTCATTTGTTCTTCAGTTATAGAAATGCTTCTCTTTGTTCCTCCAATCCTTGCCTTCATATCTGCATCAGACCCTCCTTGCCTATCGATGACGCTGCTCAGATATTTGGACGTTTCCACATCTTCCAGAGCTTCCCCATCAAGTGCGATCTGGTTGTTGCTCTCTGGGTTGTATTTCAAAATCTTGTTTTACCCATTGTATATGTTGAGTCCTGTTGTTGCAGAGGCTACTGAAACACAGACTGACTTCACCTGTATTTGTTGTTGTGTATAAGATTAAAGCGCTAGGTCACCTGCAAAGTCCAAATCGTCTAGCTCCCGACCATTGCTGCTATCTTGACATGGTCGTTGGGCTTTCTTGTCGTGATGAACCGATCGGGTTATACTGGCTGGAATAATCGTCACTCAAGGTCCTACCATGCTAGACAGATCGGTTGAAGAACGGTAATACTAAAAGCAGCAACCCAAGGCCAGAGGACAAAGTCGTACTGCTGACTGTACAGAGTTGTGTTGGCATTAAGGTGTTCCTTTTAGACAACCAGCATAACAGCGATATTGCCTTCCCACAACCCGGTTAAAGCTCCGGACATTCACTTTTCGTTCTCTTAATTTTGCAAACTACGCCGCCGCCACGAGAAGGCACTGAGTAGGACTTTCCCGGCAGTGGCTGTGTACGCATGGCCATGTGAGGGTATTTCGAGTGAGAGAGCTGATCCCCCTGTCTCTCGGCCGTACCAGGGCATTTTGGGGCATGGACGGTCCACCTAGGGGAGTTGGAAAGCCCTAATTCCAAACTAATGGTGCACATGGGCTCCAGTATCCTAAGGGGCAAATGATGTAGGAACCAGTCGTTGGCCACTGGCTACCATGGGACTGCATCTCCTTACGCTTCTTCACTGCCTTGTGGGTTAGACCTTCAGGTCGAAGGCTCCGGTCGTAGCTTTCTAAGAAAACCACCTACTTCGGTTTGGGCACCCGGGTAGTATCCCAGCTCTTACACAAATCAATGATAACTACTACTAGCCTCATTGTCATTGTGTGGTGCATATGTGTTTGGTGCCCCTTTGTACCAATATTTGTGTTAAAATGAAGTCAAATAAATGCTTCCCACAAAGTGTTACCAAGGCCAATAACTGTAGTGCGCAAAACACTGACCCAAGTCTACTGAGACATCGCTCCAAACTACACTACAAGTTGCAATAAACCAACGATGAACTCAAATAGACCATATTGCCATCAGGCATAGTTTAAGAGGTTCTTCAGAAGACTGCCACTCGTTCTCGAATACATGTTTAGACTCTGATCATGCCCTAATAGGAGCAAGGATTTGCTTGTTCCTCACTGGACGCATGAAAGCCACATTAAGAAAACTCATTATAGTTGGACTCAGTGATGGGAAAGCCCAAGCTGAATTCCATGAACAACTGAGGTCACACTTAGTTTGTTCTGAAAACAAGGCTGACTCAGATGTTGCTTGGAAAGATATACGAGCAGCTGTAGAAACAGCAGCGGCATCTGTTAGTGATTTGAACCAAAAGATCACTGGGACCCAGCGGATTTCTACAACATGGTGGTCTTTCTTGACTTGAAAGCAGCATTGGACTCTGTAAACTGAAAGGTTTTGTGGTAGTGCCTGTCATTGAACGGTGTACCTCAGAAGCACGTAAACATTATGAGGGCTCTTTACCCGAACACTACCAGTCGAGTCAGAGCTTATGAAAAACTGTCATCTGATCTTGCAACCTTAAGTGGTGTCCGGCAAGGCTGTCCACTATCTCCATTTGTGTTTAATTTTATCATAGACCTGCTGTTGGAAACAACGTTCTGGCCGTCTGGATTTTCAGGAATTTATTTTCTACCAGAAGGTCCACTTATCGAGTTAGAATACGCAGACGACATAGTCCTATTTGGTGAAGACGCTGATAAATTGCAGTATTTTGGTAGCACTGAGCAATAATCCCAGAATATTTGGGATGCGTTTCTCCTCTCAAAATGCAAGTTGTTGATTCAGGACTGACCCTCGTCAACACCTGAATTACGGATAGGCAGTGATGAAGTAGTCGAACGCGTCGACAACTTCACTTATTTTGTAAGTCTGATCAACCCTAATGGCTAGTGTCTGAAGAAATCTCTACACGGATTCATAAAGCTCGCTTGGCTCTTCCAACTTACATCATCTATGGCGAAGGCGAGATATCCATCTATCAATTAAATGACGAGTATATCGCACGGTAGTTTTTGCTGTTCTAATTTACGACTGCGAAACGTGGCCATTAAGAGTACAAGATACTCGTAAGCTACTAGTATTTGATCACAGATGTCTTAGAGATATTGCTCACATCCGCTGGGATCACTGGTAATTAATAGTGAGTTTAGACGCAGGGTATTAGGGAATAATGGTAAATCAGTTGATGAGGTTGTGAATCTTCATCGACTGAGATGGTTGGGCCACGTGTTATGTATGCCCGAACACCGATTACCACGACGTGCAATGCTAACCGGTGTTGGGAATGGTTGGAAGAACGTTAGGGGCGGTCAAACCAAAACGTGGCATCAGTGCTTGAAGTCACTAACTTCTAGTGTGAGCCATGTTGGTAGATGCAGACTACTTGGTTGGGGTCCGCGTGACTTTCGTAACCAATGGTTGGAGACCCTTGGTGACATGGCTCAGAATCGATCACAATGGCGTCGGTGTATACACTCTCTATCTTCCCTTAATCCATGAGATTAAAGTTGCTTTATATCTTTCTTTTTACAAACTAATTCTTTCTTCCTGTACTATATCCTTATATAAAATCTTTCTTTTGTACATTTCTACCATTGAAGTGACTACTTATATGAATTTGGTGTCCGTCTTGTTGTGCTCATGAGGTATAGCTACTTGGACTGATGCATTTAAGTGTTTAGATTTTACGATGTGACTAACCAACTGAAATCAACTTGCTGCATCCAAGCTGTCCATCATATTCCGTGCTTCGCCTGATATGTGAAGGCCTTCATTATCCAGTCAACCACCAAAAGAGAGAGAGAGTAAATATCATTGTCTAACGCCGATCTTTACTCGGATTGCATATCTGAGTTGGCCTACATACACGATTTGCAGTGTGATCTGTCGTAAGAATTCCATACGATGGTGAAAATTTTCTCAGGTACACCATAGTGTCAAAGAAGCTTCCACAAGATTCTCCTATCCACACTGTCAAATGCTTTACCATAGTTAAGAAGATTGATGCATGGTAATCAGTTCTATTCATTTGATTGTTCAACAATGATCAATAGTGTCGCGATGTGGTCTGTAAACTATCGATCCTTACGGAATCCGGCCTGTTGTTCTGGAAGTTGAGCGTCCACTGAATCTTTCGTCTGGTTCAACAACACCGTTGAAAACTTTTCCTGATACTGATAGTAGTGTGGTACCTCTGTAGTTCTCACACTTACCGAGTCACCTTTCTTTGTTACTTTGATGAGGTATCCCACTTTCCAGTCTATCGGCACTTGTTCATCCTCCTTAATCCTCTTGAATAGGATGTGTAACAGGTTTGCAGTTACTTCTATATCTGACGTCAGTGCTTCAGCTTGTATGTTGTCTGATGCTGCTGGTTTTCCACTGTTGATTTGTCTGGTGGCTATGCTGATTTTTCCTATTGTTTGTGGGTTGACATCTATAGAGAGGTTTGTGTATGCTGCTTCGATGTCTAGTGGTTTCAGTGAGTCTGGTCTATTTAAGAGTTCTTCAAAGTGTTTTACCCACCTGTTCCACTGTTCTCGAATCAGTGATTTGCCTTCCATCTTTATGCTTGACAGTTAATTTTAATTACTTGCTTCATCAGTTTGGTGTATCTTATATGTTCTTAAAAATCCCTGTAGACGGAGTTGTTATTGACGAGTTTAAGAATGTCAGATGTATGATACTGAAATGTTTTTCTGAGCAACCCGTGAGGAAACCAGAAAACAGTTCATTTGTATGAAA